CCCACTGGGGCCTTGGGTGGAGCTCCCCATGGGGCCACGAAGCGCTGTAGTGGGTGGGTGAAACGCATGGAGGAGGAGGAGGGGGAGGGGGAGGAGGGAGGAGGGGGATGAGAGGAGAGGAGAGGAGAGGAGAGGAGGGACGCGGGGACCGTGTCTTCAAAACGAGGACCCAATACCACAGGAGGGTTTTGAATATGAGAGAGAGAGATAGAGATAGAGAGAAGGAGAGAGCTAGAGCGAGAGCCAGGGGTGGATCTTCCAGCGCGTCAGCATTTTTTTGCCCGGACAGAACACCTGGGCGAAACAACCCGAAGGGAGGTGCCCAAGGTGGATGCATGAATTCACATGCAGTCGGCCCTCGCAGCACGAACGGCGGCACGGACCCGCCCCAGGCGTTATCCGCGCCGCCGTTGCGAGGTGCCTCGAGAAGCCACCCCGAGACACCGCCACCGGCACCACCCCCACTTGGCCGCCGGCCTCAAGCAGCGGAGGCCCCGCTGCCCAAGGACTTAAGTTCCCGCGCCCCCCACGTCGGAGGACCCCTTCGAATAACCCCATCGGGCCTCTCAGGGATGGTACGGCGGCTAGTGTCGGGGTGGATCGCCCACACACGCACTCACACGCACACGCATATTTATGTATATGTACAGATGTGTATTGGGAGGTGGGGGTCTGGGAATCATTCACATCCCTTCGACGATCGGTCTGCAACTCATTCGTATCCTCGGCCGCTTGATTATGAATGGAGGAGACGGGTCCTGGAGGAAACAGATGCTGAACCCTGGGTGTATCCCCTAGGACTGCCATTCCAAACTCGCGAACCCAAGGCGTGAACCGACCCAGGTCGCAATCTAGTCGGAAACCCCTTGCCTTTGCTCCCTTCCTCGCTGGGGGTGGGCCTTCCTGGAGTGACCCGGGTTATCTCGGGGCACGCTTGGGCATCTTGAGGCTACCCACGCCCGATGGAGCTCTCTCAAGATCAACCTCGAATGAAACGTCGCGCTCGTGCATCCCTTCGGCCGTGTTGAAGCCCTGGGGCGAGGCCAAGTACATCCAAATCAACAGAATCCTTGCTTGGTTCTTGTAACCGAGTGCTCCCGATAATAGTCCCCTGGGGATAATAAAGTTCGGGGGTATGGCGGGGATAATCAACGATTTTCCCGGGGAGGGTGATTTTATGATGATGATGATGATGATGATGATGATGATGATGATGATGATGATGATGATGATGATGATGACGATGACGATGTTGATCCTGGACGCTCGTGTGGACTGAGCTTGTAGATCTTGGCAGAAGACTGACTCGAGAGATCTCGAGGCTCGTGGCTACAGCTTGCCTGCGCAAGAGAGGCCCTTGGCGCTCCTGGCGCAACCTCCCTCGGGGATGATCAGGTTCGGCCTCCGCGCCCCTCTCCACAACTAAATCCTATTGGCACGGGATGACAGAATAGAGGGGTGAAGGGTGGGGTACATCTTTATTGAAGGGGCCCCAGGACACACAAATAAATACACACAAATGAAAAGATTCCCCATATCTTCCAATATTTTCTCGGCTTCTGTCTTCCCCCCCACTTCCCATATTCTCCCATATTTTCCTGGGAATTCGAGGATTAATTGTGTCTGTATGTTTTTTCTTTTCCTGAAAAATAGAAGGGTGAAGGGGGATGTACATTTTGTATCGGGCGCACTGGGTTATCCTCGCGCGTCGGTCCTCAGAGCATCCAGCACGGCCACAGGAGTCTCCAGGACAAGACTGGCCTTACATTGCCCAAGTAGGCACCAACATCGGGGTCCAAGAGGCCCGGCCCCACGAGCAGCCCCAAAAGGCGCTCCACCGCCGCACAGCTGGAAGCCAACCCTTGCAACATCATCCCAAGACCCCCAAGAGACACCTAGGAGGCCACCCCGCAAGCCCCAAAAGGACCACAAAGGCCCCCCCCCAAACCGCTCCACACAGCCGGCCAAGAACTCCAAACGTGTCCCCAATCGGGGGCGCGCAAACATGGATTAGCGATCCATGGGTTTGGCGCGCGGTCGCCAAATCCATGGATCTGGGGGAGGTGCCCTCCCCCAAATGCGGCCGGGGCCGTCTCGCTCGGCGGCGGAAATCCGCGATTTCCCACGGAAACGGGACCCGCCGCTAAGCCACGCCCCCCTGATCCATCTTTGCGATCGCCAGACCCAAGGCCTTTACGTTGCCCGGGCGCCGTGGCGGGATGTTGAGCAGGGACCGACCGTCCCGGCATTCCTATAGTCCTGCCACGAAATGTCCTTAGAACCCGAGCATGTTCTAAGAACAAAAACAATGTTCTCAGAACGTGAGCCCGATGCGATACAACAGGACAGCCCCCGCCAGAAGTGTTCTAGGAACATCTCGTGGAAACCACAAGAGGTTCTTAGAACATTGTTTGGTGGGGCTACGGTTAAGTCGGGCCTGTCCCCCTACAGGGGGATTTTCGACGAGAAATGAAAAATACCCCAAACATAATCAAAGAATAGTCCCAACATAATCAGGGGATTATTTTTATAATCTTGTTCGTCGAAAACCCCCTGTAGGGGAACAGGCCCGACTTAAGGCTATGGGAGAGGCAGGACGCTTCGCCACTGCTTGAGGATGGGCCGCAGGCCACCGATCTGGGCCCCCGCCTCACGACCGCCACTGCCTCGTGGCCGCCCTTCCGCCGTCTCTCGCCCCTTCCGCCCTCGAGGTCTCGGCGGAGCTGGCCTCTGCCCTTCCCCCTCGAGAACCCCACACGCCATCGAATCCCTGGAGCTCGATGACCTCGAGGGATCGAAAGGGCTGGGGAACACTCGCGTTCTCACTGCAAGCCTCGTCCAATCCGCTTCCCCGGTGCGGGCCAGAGGCGTGCCAAAATCTCCGGAAGAAGTCAAACATGTTTCTCATTCGCGCGGTCGTGGCGGCCCCTGGGGGTCCGCGAACGAAACGTAGCCCGGCAAGGTCGGGTCAGAGATGCCGGAACTCCTGGGCGCGGCCTCGGGGCGTTTCCGAGCGCCGCAATGAGGCGCCAAAAGGGTGGCACGCCCCCACGGCCTCAGGCCGAGAGCGTCCAAGATAGCCCACGTTGGTCCCAAGACGGCCCAAGAAGCGCACAAGACGCTACAGACATTTCGAACTCTCGGCCCCAAGAGGCGCCCAGGAAGCCCCCAGATGCCCCCAAGAGCACCTCAAGAGGCCCCACGAGGCACCCAGAAGGCCCCAAAAGAGGCTCCCGAGACGCCCAACAGGCCCCCAGGAAGCCCCAAGAGGCCCACAAGAAGCCCCCATGAGGCTCCCCAGACGCCTCAAAACTGCTCCCCAGAGGCCCCCGAGAGCCATCCGAAGAGACCCCAAGAAGCGTCCATGAGGACCCTGACCGACAACCCAGGTACGTCTCGAAACTCTGCTGGAGCTCTCGTGACCCATCTTGGCGCCCTCTTGGGTAGTCTGTCGGCTCTCTTCGACAGGGTGCGACCACATCTCCAAAGATCTCCTCGTGGACAAACCTGTCTACCCTTCGTTTCCCCATCGATACGAGCACACCACCGTGCAGCCACCGTGATGCGAAACGGGCCCGCGGAATGAGCGAAGCGATTCAATACTCCAAAATACCCTGTGGGATGTGACAAACAAACTTGTTAATGCGCGCCGTCACTGTGCTTTCCTCCTGCACCCATATCTCTGTCATGCCTAATCGCCCGCCTTGGCCCCCGCAATCCGACACTGACGCTTAGTTCCACAACCCTGCTCACTTGTGCGCATGTCGATCGCTAAATCGCGTTAGCACATCAGCCTTGCCACTACGGGTCAATCGAGAGAGAGAGAGAGAGCGAGGCAATACGCACACATCTATATCCGCCACCGTGCCTCGAGGCACGAAGTGGAGCTACCCCCAGGCTCTCATGTGTTCCCTGTTCTCTGTACTCGAGGCTCTGGGATTCTTCCAAGGAGCCAGGGCCCTAGATTTCCGAAGTGCCCGGGCGCTCTCGCGCGCTCTTGGGCATCTCCGCATGACTTTTCCAGAGGCCCACGGGCCCAAAGACGGGCCAAGCGGGCCACAAGCGCCCAGGAGGCATGACAGTCCAAGATGGCCCCAAGACGGCCCAAGATGGCCCCAAGACGGCCAAAAAGGCCCCATAGAAGCCCCAGAGGCGCTCCAAGAGGGCCCCCAAGAGGGCCCAAAAAGGCAAACATCATTGGTGTTCCTTATGCTTTTCTACGTAATTCGCGTTCTCGCGTTTTCGAGCTTCCGGCGCTCCCAGATGGCCCCAGAGGCCCCCAAGACCGCCCCAAGACGGCCCAAGAGGCCGCCAAGAGGACCCCAAGATGGTCCAAGAGGGCCCCAAAGTGCCCCAAGAGGCGCCCCAAATCGCCCCAGAAAGCTCCAAGACGGCCCAAGAGGCCCCCTAAAGGCCCCACGTGGCTCCAAAGAGGCCCAACAAGAGGCCGCCAAAAGGCTCCCAAGAGGCCTCAAACTACCTCCAAGAGGCCCCCGAGAGGTCTTCCAAGGTATCAAAAAAAAACCAGCCAAGAGGTCTTTATCTATCAACCCAGGCACGGTTGCGGGATGGGCCGAAGGCCACTGTATATACACAATTGTACACATATGTATGTATTTACATATATATATATACACACATCTATATACATTTACACACATATATATATATATGTATATATATACAGATGTATGTACATACATGTATATATATATATATATGTTTATTTATATACATGTATATATCTGCACATACGCCCAACTGTATGTATGCATAGATATGTGAATGTGTACACCAAAGGGACAACGATATTGTAATATAGAGAAACACGCTGCATGATAAGGCGGACGTACAACATGCACGCGATTCCATCCATTGTCGCAATGTGTCAAAGCAGGGAATAGGTACATGCACCTCCCCCGTTTCTGCTACTTACCAGCCATTCCAACCATGAGGTGCTGCGATACACAGAAACGATAATCTCTAACATCGATGCTGGCCTTTTCCCGGGCAGCAGCTTTTCTTTGAGCAGCCTCGTCGTCGATATCATCCTGCGCCAGGAGCACGCCGCTGGCGCGCTTTGTGATGCAGCCGGAGTGTGCGCGCACTGAAACAAGGTGTCTGCCGTGCTGAAAGGAAAGAAGCGAGCAACATAGCGATCTGAAAGTGCGAATGGTGTGGACAACGATGGCCGTCTTACGATGGTGTGGAGAACCAGCGATCTGAAAGTGCGAATGGTGCAAGTGCATCCTCCGCCGTCTTTACTTCCTCTTCTCCTCCCCACACGTGGCCAGCTGTGCTGGTAGCGGTCTTGCAGGGCCGCCTCAGTGAAAGCAACGAGGCAGTCCTGCAACAGGAGGGGACCGTGCGCCGAAATCGCGGCTCGAGAGACTGGGCAGCACCACTGTTGGAGGATCCCCTAGGTCACTTAACTTCGTGCATCGCGCCCCGCAATGCGCGGTCATCCTCGCGCCCTCGCGAAGCCACCTTGCATTAAGTCGGGCCTGTCCCTCTACAGGAGGAATACCCCAAAAATAGTCAAGACATAGTACGGGGATTATTTTTCATATTCATTTCGACTATTTTGTTTTTGTTGGAGTACCTTGAATTTTTCGCCCAAGCTCCGCCTGTAGGGGGACACGCCCGAACCCTGCAGAGGGGCACGCCCTGAGGACGAGGCCGCGACGCGAAGAGCCACGCTCGTCTTCGCAAGGGCGTCATGGATCTCGTGCTGCGTCGGCGCTGGACCCCCGCCTCCCCTGGCGCGCGCCGCGCGCCGGTCTCCATGGGGCGCCGCCTAAGGTTGGAGGCCTGGAAAGGGGAAAGGGGCACCAACACCAACACAGGGGGTCGCCTCCACAGGGGGAAGATGATCCTGGATTTCGGTGTCGGCGGTGGTATTTCGGTCGCCTTGGAACCCAGAATATTACCACCACCACCGAGATCGGAAGCTTCTTCCCTCGGTGGAGGCACACCGCCGATGCTGGTGTTGGTGTCAACCTCTAGGCCTGCGACAAGGGGTCCAGCGCCGACCCAGGAGACCCGCGCGCGGACCTCCAGACCTGGCGCGTGGCCAGTTGAGGCAGCGGTGGCTCTCACACGCCCAGCCCAAAAGCCGTTCAAGGTGGGCCCCCCGATCTCTCCCGGAGTCCATGCTGGTCCGTGTCTGGAATTCGGATCCAGGCAGGCCTGGCGACGAGCGAGAACGGCTCTGCTCCGTTCTCTCCTGGAAATCACCTCGCTCCGCGCTGCGGGCTCTGGCCCCTGTCGCCAGGGCGAGCCGCCCCCTCTCAGGGAGGAGGAGGAGGAGGAGGAGGAGGAGGAGGAGGAGGAGGAGGAGGAGGAGGAGGAGGAGGAGGAGGTCGTCCCTGGACTCGGGTGTGCCCAGCGTTGCTCGCCGTGCTGGAACCCCTGAGGCCCTCAAGGCCGTGTGAGGGGCACTCTGGAAGCCACCTGGGCTCGCCTGGAGAAGTCAAGGGGCCCAAGGACACACAAAGGAATGCACGCAAATCAAAGGATGCCCCATGTTTTTCAATCTTTTCGGGGCTTTTGTCTTCCCGCCCAATGCCCATATTTTCCTATATTTTCCAGGGGGTCCACGATTCATTGCGTCTGCGTGTTTTTTCCCTCCTGAAGAAGCTGGGGCCACCTTGGCCCATGGCCACCTCTCGCCACGCCCGATCCGTGGTCCGCGGGCCCCCGCTGCCCGAGGTCCCCCCACACAGGCCGCCCTCAAGGGCCTTCCAGGCCGGGGGGCCGCGCCGCCGCGCCGCCCCTGCGCCGGCGGGACGGGGCGGACAAGCATCGCGCAGCGGCCCCCTTCCTGGGCGGCCGGCGCCGCGGCCTCTGCCGCGACGCCGGCCCCACCCCGTCCCGCATCCCTAGAGGCCTCCCAGATGGGGTCCGAGTAGATGGGGTCGGAGGATCGCGCCGCATCGCCGATACACCACGCGAAATGATTAAGAAATCATGTGTTAAGAAATTAATGGTCTCAGAACTTGAATAAAAACCCAACAATTCGATCAAAATCTTAGGATTTACATTGAAACGTTAAGAATAATCGAGACTCTGGCCGAAAACTTAAGTTTTCTTAAGCATCGCCTAAGGTGTACATCGGCGATGCATCGGCGATGCATCGGCGATGCACCGGCGATGCATCGTCGACGTGGGCTATGTATCGGCGACGCCAGCGTGGAGAAAATCGGGCTCCGCATCGAGCCGCATTGTTGATGCATCGGCGATGCGGCGCGATCCTCCGACCACATCTACTCCGACCCCATCTAGGAGGCCTAGACGGGCCAGGGCCTCCTGCAGCCCGGGCAGGCCGTTGCCGAGCTCCGGGGCCCGGGGCGGCGCCCGACGGGCCCCAGGTGCTCGAGTGGCGGAATGTCGGAAGAAGTAGGTAAAAACAGGATGTAGGGAGGCGGACAGAGTGGATTGGCTCCAAGCCCTCCCGGAGAACAACAAAGCACAGCAACACCAGGCCGATTCTTGAAGTAGGAAGGCGCTTGCAGTAGATTGGGAGCTGGAAGTCCCAAAGATACATACTTCCAACGACTGGCGTGTACTCACTTACTCTTTTAGTATAGTTCTTGCTTGTGGGGGAACGCATCGCGCATGGACGACAAGGGGTGGGGTGCTGCGGGCGGCTCCTCTCCAACCACGCAGCCTCCTCCACCTCCTCTTCCCCCCCAGCACCAGCATCCTCCGCTAGCTCCTGCTCTACAAATTGCTCAGCCTCTTCTTCCCTCCTCCAGCCTTTTCCACATCCTTCTGATTTGTTTTCCTCCTCCGTCGTCCTCGCGTATGGGGGGCCTCGTGTGCGATTCTTGATCGGCCTCTCGCTTTCTTTCAAACAGAGCGTGGTGGAGCGGGGATGGGGTTCGCCGCAGACATGTTGTATGTTCTCTCTAACAGGCAGGCCACGGTATACAGGTAAACCAAAAGGATAGGCCAGATTTGAAAAAGCACGCCCTGCGAACCTCGTAACGGCAAGCTCAATTGTATCGGCAAACGCATCTCTCTCTCTCTCTCTCTCTGATGTGCAGAAGCAAGCGGTACGTTAATCTCAAGGCCAAAGGGAATTGTAGGTGCAGCGCAATTCTCAGTTTTACGCGCACAAGCACGCCTGTTGGAATACCCAGGCGCAAGTCTGGCCAGACCCGCGGCACCGAGTTGGGTAGTGTGGTAGAAACGAGCGGTTGCAACAGGAAGATCGGGTACTCCAGATTTCGTAATAAAGGGAGGGGGGTCTCATTTCGGGGGGGGTCTCTTCCAGGCTATCTTGGAGGGCCTGGGGGGTCTGGGAACGATGTTTTGGAGGGTTCTCCCACGGGGGGCGGTCTGAAATGGCTTGTCTTGGAGGGTCCAGACCCCCTCCCTTTTATTACGAAATCTGGAGTAAACTCGCAAAGCAAGTCTGGCTAGATTCGCAGACGCAGGTTCGGCGAGACACTTATCATCGAGCTCCACTTCCAGCGGCCAATCATATTGTGTCTCACATTGCGTGTCCACAGGCCCGTCGAATGTTCATTCCAGCGGCCTGTCTTACGGTGACCCCAGCTGCCTGTCGCATGTTGAGTAGGCATGAGGAACAGGAGAAGAGGGGGGCTATGAGAAAGGAATGTGGAACAGAAATGCCATAGGATATTCATAGCCTACGGACCCTATCGAAACATACAGCCAAATTGGAATCCTAAATCCCATGGGGACCCAGAGAGACCCATCGCACCCGGTCCTGAGAGCTGTGAAACCCGATGGTAATATGAAATCTATTGGAACCCAAACACTATGGGGGAACTTGAGAGACCCATTAGCCTGTGTCCTCAGAAGTCTAGAGACCCTACGGGAACATGAGGCCCATGGGGACCCAACCAACCTGGGGAACCTTGAGAGACTCATCGCGCGCTGCCTTGAGAGGCCTAGATGCCCCGCGGGACCAGGAAGCGAATGGGAGCCCAAGGACTTAAGAGAGACCTGAGAAACCTGGCGCGCCTGGCGCAACGGCGCTAACCGACCAACCCGAATTACGGAAGCATGGGGCACAATGGAACCCCGCCCTCTCGGGGACAGAGGAAACCTATGGCGCCCGGCCCTGGGGAACCCAAGTCCTACGGGCCAATGAAGCCAGGTGGAACTGTGGTGCCCTGAGAAAGAAAACTCGGGCAGACCATGGGCCGACGGGCGCCACTGGGAAATCTGCGAAATCGTCACCACAATTGCCGCCGCCACCGCTGTCATCGTTGCCTTTGTCGCCATCTCTTGCCCCCGCCACATCCTCTTTTTCGTCTTCCATCCGCCTCCCTTCTCGTCCGTCCCTTCCTCATGAAGCGTGTTGTTACATGTTCCCGCCCGCGCTTCGAAGTGGAACCACAACATCGCGCGCAGAGCAACAAACGATCGAACCCGCGCGCTGTCGAAGTAGCAACGCCACAACAACAAAAAACGGCAAACGCTCAAGAAATAACTCGCTGGCAAAAGGAAACGCACATGGGCAGCAAACGGAAGATGACGAGCAAAACAGGGGCGAAACAGGGCGGGGGGGGGGACAACGCGCCGTACACTGGGCGCCCCCACAGCGCGAAACAGAAATTTGCCACGCGGGAGCGGCAAATTACAACTCTTCCGATGATGCAAGCGAGATCGTGCGCGGGGGGGGCAGCCGCGCTGAGGGGGGCGCGCGACCACGCGGCAAAACGATCCGCCGCGAGAAACAACTTACCCTGCGACGTACCCAACCCATCGGCACCAAGAGATTGTATGAGGTGTGACAACAGCACTGCAAAAGACGGTGCACGGCGGAGGTCTAAGTCGTGCGAAGTGTGCGCGGCCGTCTCGCAGAACAGAGGTACAGACAGCCAGGAGGCATTGTACTTGGAATGATAATCAAAAGGAAGACATCGAGGTGGAAGAACAATCACCTCGGCAGAAGCAGCGAGACGAGGGCGAGGTCGTTTCGGGATCTGCCTGGGACCCAACTGTGCTGGCCCACCCCAGCAGCCCTCGAAAAGCATGGCCATTTCGCACTTCGCAGCCCCCCCCCCAGGGATGGCGAGGTCCCGTTTGGGTCTGCGTGGGGCCCCACTGTACTGGCCCCCCCCAAGCAGCCCTCGAAAGTGGCGGCAATCTCACGCTTCGCGGATCCAGCCCTAGGAGACCCTCGGGGCTCAGACGCAGTCCAAGACCTCGACCCCCGAACCTCGAGCCCGTCCCCGGACCCTTCTCTAGGGTCCACTCTGGCCTCTGTTCCCCTTACAGAGTGTCGCGCAGAAGCTCTACAAGAGGCTCAGGGAGTCTCACGAAACAGTCTCACAAAGGGGGACAGAGCTGCTGTGCCGGAGACTTCGCCCCGCTTTCTTCGGGCAGCGCGCTCTCGATGTTCTTCTTTCTGCTCGTGTTGCCAGAGCTCCACTCCCGCGTACGATTCTCACTCCTGAAGAGTCCCGCACTCGCCATCGCTCGGACGTCATTTTTTTGTATTTTTTGTCGGTTTCGTGTGTTTTTTTTCTCCAAATGGTCAAGGATGTTCCTCGATGGCCCTCGCCGAGGAAAACACGCACACGTCCGAGCGATGCCAAGCGCAAGGGGGACGCGGAGCCCCAGACCGCTCGGTCCTGTAGCCGTTTCGCCTGAGACATCCTCACAATATGGTCAGTCTACATGATTGGTCTGGACGGCCACGACCCTTTAACCACAAGTCTAGGTGGTGCACATGGCCGCACAGGTCCAGCAGGTTCCACAGGCCCTCCCCAGTCCAACACGTCTCGCAAGTGTTGCAACTCCCACAAGTCCCGCAGAGGTCCCACAGAGGTCCCCTGGCCATCGCTCGGACGTCCATTGCCTGTGTTTTTTTTCGGTTTCGTGCGTGTTTTTTTCGCGAGATGATCAGGGATGCTCCTCGATGGCCCTCGCCGAAGGAAAAAAGCACACGTCCGAGCGATGCCAAGACATTATTGGTCTGGACGGCCACGACCCTTTCACCAAAAGTCCAGGTGGCGCACGTGGCCGCAGGCCCCACCCAGTCCAGCAAGTCTCGCAAGCGTGGCAACTCCCACAGGTCCCGCAGAGGCCCCACAGAGGTCCCCTGGCCATCGCTCGGACGTCCGTTTCCTGTGTTTTGTTCGGTTTCGTGCGTGGCTTTCTCGCGAAATGATCAGGGATGCTCCTCGATGGCCCTCGCCGAGGAAAACACGCACACGTCCGAGCGATGCCAGGGCAAAGGGGACGCGGAGCCCCAGACCGCTCGGTCCTGTAGCCGTTTCGCCTGAGGCATCCTCACAATATGGTCAGTCTACATGATTGGTCTGGACGGCCACGGCCCTTTCACCAGAAGTCTGGGTGGCGCACAGGCTCCCCAGGCCCCACCCCAGGTCCCACAGGTCCCCCAAAGGTGCCGCAGAGGTCCCGCAGAGGTCCCACGGGTCCCGCAGGTGTCGCGGATCCCACCAGGTCGCACAGGTGCCACAGAGAGGTCCCGCAGGGCCGACAGGTCGCACACGTCCACGATTCCAACCTGCCCCACAGGCCCCACGGGCCTCGCAAGTCTCCCAGGTCTCGTAAGCCAAAGAGGTCTTGCATGTCTCGCAAGTTCCACAGGTCTTGCAATTGTCACAAGTTCCCCAGGCCACAGAGGTCCCCCTGGCCCCGCAGGTCCCGCAGGTCCAGCAAGTTCCACAGGTCACAGGTCGCACAAGTCCATACATTCCACCTGCCCCACAAGTCCCACAGGCCTCGCAGGTCTCTCTGGTCCCACAGGCCACCGAGGTCTCGCAGGTCTCGTAGGTCGCACAAGTCCAACAGTTCCCCCCTGCCCCACGGGTCCCACGGGTCTCACAGGTCCCACATGTCCTACAGGTCCCACAGATCGCGCCCCACATGTCCTACAGGTCCCACAGGTCCACACATCCCACGTGTAGCACGGGCGCCCAAGGTCACACAAGTCGTACAGACCGCATAGGTCCCATATTTCCTACAAGTCCCACCGGTCCGAGAGGCCCCACAAATACCACATGCCCCACAGGTCCTGCAAGTCTCGCAAGTCCCACGGGCCACCACACAGGTCCAGCAGGTCGTACAGGCCGCACAGGTCCCACAGGTTCCACAGGTCCCTCAAGTCTCACAAGTTCCACAGGTCCTCAGGATCCACAGGTCCCAGGAACTCTCACGGGCCTCACTGGTCCCAGAGGTCGAAGAGGTCACACACTTCCCACAGCTCACACGGGCCCCACTTGTCCCTCCCACAGGTGGCTCACGTCCCTCAACTCCCACTTGCGCCACAGGTCCCACAGGCCCCACAAGTTCCGCAAGTCCCACGGGCCCCACAAGTCGCACCCGTCCAAGATGTCCCACGGGTCTCACTGGTCCCACAGGCCGCATGGGTTCCATAGCGCCTTTGCTGCCAGAAGGGTGATCTGCTGTTTTTCTGTTTGTTGTCGTGGATCGAACCTCGAAGCTCGACACTCGATCATCTGATGGGCAACGATCGGAATCGAGCTGGAATCGGCAATGCATCGCCAGTTGATCGGCGATAGGCCCCCGATAGCGGATCCGCATGCTCCAGGGCGGGGTGGGCTATGAAGCCCCCATCGGCGATGAATACGCGACTGGGGTTGAAGCATGCCGACGAGAACGCTCTCAAACCTCAAACCTCGAGCCTCCCCCCCCCCTACCGCCCAGCGTTTCCCCTGGTCCTCCCACGGGGAGGTGCGGCAGGCCTCAGTGAGGGCGAAAGTCCCCTACAGAGGAGGGGAATGGGCGAATGGAAATGGGAGGAGGGGGAGGGAAGAGGAGGAGGAGGAGGAGGAGGAGGAGGAGGAAGAGGAGGAGGAGGAGGAGGAGAGGGAGGAGGAGGAGGAGGAGGAGGAGGAGGCGGAGGCGGAGGATCGAAAAAGAAGGAAGAGGATGACCGATTCTGGAAACAGCTGCCCTCTGTGGCTGCAGTGGATCTGGGGAGGTTCGGGCGGGCCTCCGTGAGGGCGAAGCCCCCCCCGAGGACCTGGATCCTCGAACCTCGGAGACGGGGGGAACGCCTCCTCGGCCCTCGAACCTCGAGCCTCGAGCCTCCCGAGGGGGGGGGGAGCAGGGTGCGGCACCGAGCCTCCGTGAGCGCGAAGGCCCCCCCGAGGTTCTTCCGCCGCTGCTGCTCGAGCTCCACCCGCCTCTGCCGCGCCTGCCCGCGCCGCCGCCGGGGCGGCGGCGGCAGGTGCGCTGCGGGCGGCGGGGGGCAACCCGCGGACCGCGGCGGCCGCTGCTTGGAGCAGGGGTGGCGGCGCCACTCCGGCTCCGACCTCGCCGAGGAGGGAAGGTGGGTTCCCTCCTCCTCCCCCCTCCTTCCGACCCCCCCCCCATTGCCGCCCCCCCCTCCTCCTCCTCCTCGGCCTTCTCCTTCTCCTGCTTCGCCACCTGGCCCCTGGCGTCGCCGCTGGCGTCGTGGAGGCTGGCGTCTAGGTGGTAGGCGGCGACCGCGATTATGGCGCCACTAGCCCCTATTAGCCCCTACACCTTAGGCGATGCTTAAGACAACTTAAATTTTCGGCCAGAGTCTCGATGATTCTTTACGTTTCAATGTAAATCCCAAGATTTTAATAGAAATGTTGGGTTTTTCTTCTAATTCTGAGACTATGAATTTCTTAACCCATGATTTCTTCAGCATCTCGCATGGTGTATTAGCCCCACCAGGCAAGACCGCGTCCTGGAGAGGCATCGCTTCACGGGGCTCTTCCGGCCGCCCGCGGGCCACCCCCGGAGCCCCTCCACGGCCCCCATGGGGCCGTCGGAGGGCGGCTCGGAATGAGGGGGGTCGGGGGCGCCCAAGAGGGAGGAGTCCGGGAGGAGGAGGAGGCGGCCGGATGCACGTGCGCGGACGAGAGGGGGTGGGAGAAGGGGCATGTTGAAAGAAGCGGAGGGTGGCATGAAATCCCGTAATATACATGTATGTGTGTATGTGTATATATGTGTATATATATATGTATATATATAGAGATGTGTGTATATATACACATATCATGGCCCCGACAATGCGCGGGTTTGCCGCCCACGCGAAAACGGTTCGCGCGAACACTTCGGCGCGTTCGCGCGAAAACAATATATGCGCTGCGGATCCCTGCCTGGTCCTCTTCGTAATCCCCTCCTCCCTGCTATCGCCTCTTCGTCCTCCTCGAGACGCACGCAGCGTAGAGCAGGCCGTGTGGTGCTGACCTCGGCATCGGCTTGTGCTGACCTCGGCATCGTTCAACCTTGAAGGCTCGGTCCCTTCCGAAACGTCAAATCGTCCAGCATCGAGCGATTTAGGGTCGCTGGCGGCGTTCAGCGTTGAACGCCGCGGCAAGGTCGCCGCCAATCGACACAAACCTAGCGTACGCCACAACCATGGATCGGACACCCGAAACCGGGAGATGGGAACTTAGGAATCCCACCATGTCTAAATATCTTTCAAACGGTCAAGGCGTTTTGGCCGTTTTGAACTTTCACATTTCATTTCCGTGTTCGGTTCCGTGTTCTTTCCGTTTCCGTTGCTGTTTCCGATTCGTGTTTTTTAGCACAAAAGATATATGTTCAAAGAGCTGTTTTGTTTCCGCTTCCGTCGCTCCCTCAGAGATGGTCGGTCACCTCGCACAGCCAAGCTAGGGGCCCCTTGCATCCTTCAGTCGCCGTCAGAAGACGCGCCCGGATCGGAAGAGGTGCTGCCGTCTTCGACGGGCACGGGCTCGTGCGGCCAACCCGGGCACGCTATGCTTGGTTAGTGCTGCCATCCCGAACGCGCGGCCCCTGCTGGCTAGCACCGTTGCCTGAGACGGCTGCGTCGGAGGGATTGAAGCAACATTCTTCCCCATGTTCAACTTCTCAATGCTCCCCTCACCCGCCCGCTCAATTTTGGCTTCTCCGTTTCCAGTGCGTCTCAAGTGCGTCTTCAGCTCCCGTGCGACCCGCCCCCCAAAACAAATCTGTCTTGGACCTCCACCCACACCGACGCAACCGTGCCAGTCCAGGGCGCCGGCCACCGGGGCCCGACCGCTCGGGATGGCAGCGCTCACCGGGCAAGCGCAGGACGCGGACAGGAGCAGGAACGGCGGCAAGCGACGGCGCAGACGGGGCCGCACCCGTGCCCGTCGAAGACGGCAACGCCTCCGCCGCTCCCGGCGCCGCCTCCGACGGCGACCGAGGGCATGCCGCCACCGCCCCAGGCCTGCCTGCGCGTGCCTGCATCGTTGCTCGTTCCGGGGGCCTTAGGTAAATCTGGCGGGCGCCGATTGCAACATTTGTTGTTGTTCCAATTGCCGTTCCCTTTGGCGCCGTTGCTGATTGTTCGTGTTCGAACTTCCTTCTATGTTCGTTTTGAAGTCTCCTGGATCGGAAACGGAAAACGGAAAACGGGAGACAAAACAAAGAGCACCCTGGCCGTTTCGAGGGACAGCTGCGGCCTAGCGGCGTCTGTCTGTCCTCTTCCGAAGCCCTCTTCCCTCAGGGAAGGGGTGCCCTCCCCCTCCCCTCCTTGAGTTCGTTTTTTCTTGGGGGGGGGGGGGGGGGCGATCGGTCCGAGCGTCCACGATGGTCTCCGATGCTCCAAGACGGCCTCCAAGACAACCCAAGATAGCCGAATTCTGGTTTTCGTTGGCGCGCGTTCGTGCCAACGGCATGCGACTGCTACCTCCACGCGCGCGCTGATTGCCAAACTAAGTCGCGCACGGACTTATAGCAACACCAGGGCTGCACGGGGTGTGATGCACAGGATTCGATATGGCTTCCCACTGAACTCCAGGAGGCCCGACGAGGGCCACAAAACGATTCCAAGTGCTCTCGGAGCCCTCTCAGGACCCCCTAAGAGGCCCGAATTCTTCAACCACCTGCCTTATCGCCGTATCGCTTCTGATGCGGCCTAAGAGGGCTCCTATGAAGGGGCCCTGGGACACACAAATAAATACACACAAATGAAACGATTCCCCATATTTTCGCATATTTTCTAGGTTTTTGTCTCCCCCCCCCCACTTCCCATATTTCCCCATATTTTCCAGGGAATCGACGATTCATTGTGTCTGTGTGTTTCGTTCCCTCCTGATCCAAGAGGCCTCCCAGACGGCCCCACGAGCGCCCAAGAGCGCCCAAAGAGTGCCCTAAGCGGCGCCTCTGATGGCCCCAGGATCGCCCCAAGACGACCCAAGAGGCCTCCGAGAGGGCCCGGAAACGACCCAAGAGGGCTGCAAGAGGCCTCCAAGACGGCCCAGGAGGGTCCCAAGACGGCTCCACAAGGGTGCCCAGACGGGAAACCGAAAGGACATTTCGAGCCCTCGGCCCCGAGTGGCTCCCAGGAGGCCCCAAGAGGACCCCTCCAAGGCCCCCCCCCCAGGCCCCCAAGAAGCCCCAAGAGGCCCCAAGAGGCTTCCGAGAGGCCCCCAAGAGGCTCCCAAGAGGCACAACAACTGCCCCCGAGAGGCCTTCGAGAGCGCTCCGAAGAAACCACAAGAAGCATCCCTGAGGACTCTGACCCACGTCAGCGTCGTGTCGTTGTCGCGCCGCCGCCGTCGTCGTCGTTCCCCATCAAGGTCGGCGGCGCTGGCCGTAATGCCTTCGCATTATAGTGTGAGGGGGTATCAAGCGGAAGCCGTTGTCGACGCAGCTGGACCTCCAATAAGTTCACTGGATTGCGAGAAAGCCTTGAGCGAGAGCGCCGTTCCTGAGTTTGGGGCGCTCTCTGGCCACGACATCTCGGAGTAATCCTACCGGCTCTTTGGGCGCAGGTGGTCTAGACCTTTTCTTTTCTAACATTATTTCTTCACCTATTCGGGGAGGTTTACCTCCCCCCCTCTCTGCGCCTAGGCGGGAGAACGCCCGGAGGTTGGAGCGTCCAGGACGGCCCGGTATGGCTTCAAGAGCTCCTCAGAGATCCCAAGATGGCCTCAAAGATGGCTCAAGATGGCTCGAGATGGCGCCAGATAGCCTCCGACATGCACCCAAGAGGTCCCAAGACGGGCTCAAGGCAGTCTCAAGTGGCCCTCCGAGCTCTTCAAGGTCGCCCATCAAGAGGCCCCAAACTCCTTTCAACACCTGAGGAAATAGTTGTTTGCATTTTCGCCTTGTCGCCTCCGATGGGCTTCTGAGGCCTCAGGATGTCCCAAGCGAGCCCCAAGAGGGGTCCAAGGAGGTCCCAGAGACGGCCCCAAGAGCGCCCAAGAGGCGCCCAAGAGCGCTCCAAGAGGGGCCCGAGAGGCAGTTGTTTTGCCTCCGAGGGGAGGGCCTTGATTTCCGCAGTTTTTGGTTTGGACCGATTGGACCCAAGATCACCCCAATAGGCCTCTCAGGGCCCTCAGGGGCCTCCAACAAGCCCCCAAGAGAGCCTCGAGAGCCTCTCCGCCTTCGCATCGGCCTTGGCGTACACCCTTTCGCCGCGCTCCTCGCAGGCGCCAGCGTCTCCACCAGCGGCGCCATCGGCTGGTGCGGCCGCGAACACGGCAGCAGCGACAGCAGATCGCGCCACGGCGGCGACGGTCCTGCGAGGAGCTCGCGCGAGCACCGCGGCGCGCAAGGCACCTCAACGAGTGAAGCCGCCACCAGACTAGGAACATACATGAAGCACTTGGATTGGAGCCGCTCCTGCGGCCTCCTGCTCCTGGGGACTCTTGGGGCCTCCTGTGGCCTTCCGGGGCCTCCTGGTGCCTCCTAGCGCTTCCTGTTGCCTCCTGTGGCCTCCTGGGGCGTCCTGAGGCCTCCTTGGGCCTCCTAGAGCCTTTTGGAGCCGCCTGGGGCGTCCTGAGGCCTCCTGGGGCCTCCAGTGGCCTCCTGTGGCCTCCTGGAGCCCCCAGGAGCCTCCTCCCCCTCCCCCTCCTCCTCCCCCTCCTCCTCCTCCTCCTCCTCCTCCTCCTCCTCCTCCTCCTCCTCCTCCTCCTCCTGGGGATTTCTGGGGCCTCTCGGGACTTCCTGTGGCCTCCGGAGGCCTCCCCCCGCGTCCTCCCTGCGCTCCTGAGGTCGAGGAGGAGGAGGACGACGACGTCATCGGCGCTAGCTGATGCGAACGCCCCCATTCAGCACCATAGACTGCTGCTTCTGCTCCTACTCGTTCTCCTCCTCGTCCTCCTCCCTCCTTCCCCCCAAAGTTTCGAAGAGCCCCCCCAAGACTATCACCCCCAAAAGCCCCAAAGGCACCTAGATCGTCACGAAACCGCAAAACACCGTTTCTGCCTTCCCCCTCGTCATCCCCTCCCCCATCCTTCCCTTGATCCCCCCCCTCCCCCTGCGTCCCCTCGACAGTTATCAAGATGGCCAGGAGGGAGTGGAACGACCCCCTCAACGTCCTGTACTTCACACAGAAAGAATTTCAACATTTGATGTTTGGTTGTGTACTATATGGTCGCTTCTGATCCTTCAACATCGTGCTCCAGCTGCAACGTTGGCATCATAGTAGTCGGCGCTTTGCTCCCATCGTTCAGAATGGCGCTCTCGCCCAAGCGAGGGCCGCTTTTCTGGATCCGAATCGTTCCTCATCGTTGTCGCCCCCCTCATGCTCCCTTCTGCGCCTTCCCCTGGTCCTCATGTTGCTGCTGTTGGTCCTCATCCTCCTCCTTCCTCTTCATCCTCGTCCTCCTGTTTATTCGCCACCTCCTCCTCCAATGTGCGCAGCTCCCGGTTGCAGATTGCGCATAACACGATGGGTCCTTTCTGGAATTCGGGTCCGATGTGACACGTGACGGCGCACAGAGAAGATATCAGCGCAGTGCGAAGGGATGGGTGGGAGGGTAGGATGTCAGATCTGGCGCGAACGCATCTAGCCTGCCTCGCCCCTCTCCTCTTGCCTCCGCGGGGGGAGGACGACAACGACGAAGCGAGGAGAAGGAGGAGGGAGGAGGAGGAGGAGGAGGAGGAGGGGAGGGAGAAGAGGAGGAGGAGGGAGGAGCAGGAGGAGGAGGAGGAGGTGGAGGAGGAGGATCAGGAGGAGGAGGAGGAGAATGTGAAGGAGGAGGGAGGAGGGAGGAGGGAGGAGGGAGGAGGGAGGAGGAGGAGAAGGAGGAGGAGAGGAGGAGGAGGAGGAGGAGGAGGAGGTGGAGGAGGAGGAAGAGGAGGACGACGTGACGCCGCCGCTGCGCCTCCTCCAGCAGCCGGAGCTGGTTGAGCTCCTCCTCGCGCACGTCCGGCGGGGGGACGGCCGCGGTGCCAGCCTGCGGTGGGGGCGGCGCCTCTCCCTGCGGCTCGCGCGCAGGCGGCGCTCGTCGCCCCACGGGCGGCGCACGTGTCCATGACCACGCTGGTCGGGCTGGGCGAAAGGGGGGGATAGCAAAGGGGGGGTAAGGAGGCAAGGATGCAAGGGGGGCACCTAGGATGCCGAAGGGGGCAGGGATGCAAGGGGGGTAACCTAGGACGAGTTGCTCATCCTTACTCCGCGGGTTGACTGCACTCGCTCTCGAGAGCCAGGGCGTGCGGCGCCGCCAGGGGCGCCAACGCGAGGCGCCCACGTGGCCGTGCCGATCCCCAAGCCCGGCCAGACCGCCGAGAAGCCTCGGGCTGGGCGAAAGGGGGGGATAGCAAAGGGGGGGGTTTGAGAATCAGCTCACGCAACCGATTTTCCCGGCGCCTCCCGGCGCCAGAGGCGGCCGTGTATCGAGGAATGGGCCCCTCGGTGGGGCCGAAACCAGCTGCATGCAGCAGATTTCGTACCCCCCCCTTTCCCTATCCCCCCCTTTCGTCAGGCCCGAGTTGGGTGTTGCTTCATGGGGGGGGGCGATGAATGAGATGGCGAAACAACGTGCACCTTCTGTGCCCCTCTGGGGCCCCAGGGGGTCCCTTCAGGGCATCAGAGGGCCCCTTGGTGTCGCCCCTCCCTCTTTGCGCAACGCCCGGCCACGCCCCCGCGGTCTGGATTCTGGGGCGCGATCCCGCGGATATGCGGTCGCACGGGTACGTTCCACACGGGGCACTCGCTAAAAACACGCCCCGTGTCCGCAGAGTCGCGGCCCAGGGGCCTGGCCTGCAAGGCCGCGGGTGCGGATAGATTTTTCGCTCACGACCCTCGTTGTCGCTGCCATCGTCACCGTCGCCGTCTTCGGCGCAATCGCCGTCGTCGCCGCCTCCGTCGTCGTTCGACCGAGGTTCGGAGGTCGAGGACCGAGGTCTTCGGGCCTTTCGTTGAGCAATGACCAACCGTCCAAGCATTCGATAGGCCTATCACCGAGTTTTTTACAACGAAAGAATGCATAACACCGCGCGCATTCAAACAGCACTGCATCAGGCAGAAATGTTCTCCAAGAGCTTCGTGCACAACCACACAAGTTTTTAGCAAATTTGTTAGTGGGTCTACGAGCAGGTCAAGACGCTTCGCCTTTGCTTGGTTCCAGGAGTGGGAGGGAACAGCTTCTCCGTCGCCACAACTGGATTCACTTCGGGACTCTGGTCAGAACGCGCCCCCTGAGAGGTCCGGGAGCCGCTTTTTGAGGGCGGCGTCGTGCGTCGGGGATCGTGGGTCGTGCATCGGGGATCTGCTGACCCGGGTCAATCGAGACCCGGGTCAATCTCGGGCGTTGGTAGAATTGGGTTTAGTGGAACCTGGTTCAGTGATCTGTACCGGGGGCGCCCCCCCGTCCCATTTCCACTAACCAGAACTGCCGTCACCCGAAAAATACCAGCTATGGCAAACCTGGTTTAGTGATTCTGGCCAATTCGAAGGCTCTGGGGCCCTACCACTAACCGAGTCCCCTTACCCGGGGTCCTGGCCATACCCGACAGTCGGGCATTGCAAGATCCTGAAGGATCCTGCGCCCAAGCCCGGGTCCATGCGAAGGACCTTGCAAGATCCCGCAGGATCCTGCACCCAGACCCGGGCCAAGGCGGCCCTGGCCCCTGCAGGGTCCTGGAAGCTCCGGCGCTCTGGCCGGCCCCCGCTTGCATGGACCCCCGATCGCGAGGCTCCCGAAAGTGCAGCGGGCGTCGTGCCGCCCGCGCCCTGTTCATCCGCGCCGTCCCTCCCAGCAGGAAGGCTGGAGGTCGGCGGTGGACAAACCTCCCTTTAGTAAACCTCCCCCTGGCCATCGCTCGGACGTCCATTCCGTGTTTTTTTCGGTTTCGTGTGTGGTTTTTTCGCCAAATGATCAAGGATGCTCCTAGATGGTCCTCGCCGAAGGAAAAATGCACACGTCCGAGCGATGCCAAGCCCCTTAGTGAGAACGGCCTAGGACCGAAACGGACGGACCAGGACCCGCAAAAGTGACGACCGCGGCGCCCTGGCCTATTCCTTAATCGACGTGTCAGGGTAGAAGGTCTGTCCCCCCCCGGTCCTTCCCATCAGGAAGGCTGGAAGGAGGACCGCCCATGGTGGCCCGGCTGCTTTTCCAAGTGCTGGTCTGGGCCCCTTGGCGGGAGGAGGAGGATGAGGAGGAGGAATACGAGGAGGAGGAGGAGGAGGAGGAGGGTTCCGTATTCCGGGCTGCTGATGTCATGGCAAGGCTTCGACTCGACTGCGCAGTCGTCGGTCGCTCTCGGTCGTCTGTGTCGTCTGCACGCGTCGTGGTCATGATCGTCGTCGAGGTCGTCGGTCGTCTGCCGTCGGTCATGACTCTCCGCAGTCGTCGGCATCATCGCAGTCGCCCAGGCCCCGTGAGAGTCGCTCGTCGTCGCCGTCGTCGAAGTCGTCGTCGTGTGCCGTTGGTCGTCGTGACGGTCGTCGCCCTCGTCGTCGTCGTCGTCGTCGCCGCCGTCGTCGTCATCGCCGTCATCGCCGTGGCCACGGTGCTCGTCGTGGTCGCGGCAGCCAAGACGATGCTCTTGCAACAACGATCGACGTATGCACCAGAATCCGCATGCAACTCGCGACTCCTGCATCCTACATGTACCGGCGCTGTACAGTGCTGAAACACAACGAGCTGACCCGCATAGCCCGTCGGCGACCAGCGCCTATTCCAAAAGCAAGCGGCCAAGTTTAATCAATGGCCACCCGTCGGCGACCAGCGCCTATTCCAATTGCAAGCGGCCAACTTTGACCAGCGGCCAAACATCAGTGGCAATTTGGGGGGGCAGAGGGAGGATTGGGGGGGGGGGAGGCGGGGCCGGGGGAAGTGGGAGGGGCGAACAGGGCAGGAATGACGACGCGAGATGGGGGCAGAAGGAGGATTGGGGGGGGGGGGATGCGGGGCGAACAGGGCAGGAACGACGACGCGGAGAGACGGCCAGGAGGGGGAACACAAGCGGGCGGAGCGAGGAGGACGAGGAGAGAGGGAGGAGAGGGAGCAGAGGGTACCCCTGGCCATCGCTCGGACGTCCATTCCCTGTTTTTTTTTCCGGTTTCGTGCGTGTTTTTTTCGCGGAATGATCAAGCATGCTCCCCAATGGTCCTCGCCGAGGAAAAACGCACACGTCCGAGCGATGCCAAGACACGGGAGGACGAGGCCGCCTCTCGCGCCGGCCCCGCGCCGCAGCCCCCGGCTGGAACCCGTCGCCGCCCCGTCGCGAGTGGGCACCCGCCACGCGGAGCTGCCCAGCCGCACGCTGGCCCTCCTCAGCACGAAGCCGACGCGCCCCCAGCTCTCTTGGGCGTGGCTTAATGGGGGGGTCACAAATGGGGGGGTCAGAAAAGGTCCCCTTTCGTGCCCCTTTCGGGCCCCTCCGGAGCCCCAGGGGGCTCGTTTAGGTACCGTTTGGGTACCTTTTCGGACCACTCTCGCCACCCCCCCATTTATGACCCCCCTATTACGCAACGCCCAACTCTCGGAGCGGCCCGGCTCTCCGGGGGCGAGGCGCCGCCCGTGCGCCGCAGGGCCCCGCCCGCGCCCGCGCGCGCCAAGGCTCGGGAGAAAGCTTGGGTACCTCTGGGGGCCTCGCGTGGACTCCTCCTCCTCCCCCTCCTCCTCTTCCTCCTCCTCCCCCTCCTCCTCCCCCTCAGCGCGGGCGCCCGAAATGGGTACGGAAAAATGGGCACAATGCCCAGCAACAAGTGTTGCCCCAAACCAACAGCGGCCGCTGTTGGGCAGGCGGCCTTCCGCCTCGAATTGATACAGACCGCGGCGGCGTGGACAGCGAGTCCTGTTCAACACGAACAAGAGCTGCTGTTGGGCATTGTACCCATTCTTTCCGTACCCATTTCGGGCGTCTCAGAAACTCGTGGGCGCTTGCTGGGAGCACGCCGCCGGCCGTCCTGGGAGCCGACCGCCTCCGCGCCACCCGCTCCGCTCCTCCGCGCGAGCCCCCCCTCGCGACGGGCGCCCCGCTGGCGCAGCGCGGCCCCGCGCGCTCCCGACGCAGGGCCTGTCCACTCCCTCCCTCCTCCTCCTCCTCCTCCTCCTCCTCCTCCTCCTCCTCCTCCTCCTCCTCCTCCTCCTCCGCCTCTCTGGTGGCCTCGCTGGCAGGAGGCGAGGGCAGGGGCCGAAGGAGCGCAGCCGCCCCGCGGCGCGCGCGCTGCCACCGCCGTGCCCCTCGGTCGGGTGCGGCTCGCCCGTGAGGTGCCCGGGGTCCACACGCAGAGGTCGATCGAGGAGTGCTGTGTCGCTCCCGGCGTGCTCGCGTCGTGCCACGGGCTCATGCCGCTTCTTCCTGCACGAGCTGCGAGAGGGCCGTGCGCTCCACTGCCACGCACTCCCCAACGAGAACCATCGCGCGCGCGCTTCGCGCGCGCGCTCGAGTTCTGCTTGCCATGGGGACAAGCCTATAGTGCGTCAGAGGGGTCGTGTCCAAATGATCGGATCCTTGGTCTGGAAACGCACGCCTTCGTGTCTAAGTTCGCCTTGAGGCTGTCTATTCGGGCAGTCTTGCAACTCTCTTTTGGGCCTCCGAGGCCACCTTGGAACCACACTTTGGCAACACATAGGCGCTTCAGAAAAGCAAGGAGAACACGCTGGGGTTCCTGTTTTAACTTTGACTGGTCTGGCCCTCTGGAAGTCCTGTGTGGGCACTCTGGCGACTTCTTAAGGCCTCATTATGCTGCTGGAGACTTTGTGGGACAGCCTGAGGGCGTCCAGGGACCGTCGTGGAGCCCCCTTGGAACTTCTGCACAGCTCTGGGAACTTCCTTGAGAATCGTTTATCCGACCCCCATCCCCAGCGGCGTGGCCTGGGCCCCACTGGCCGATTTACCCCCCCCCAGATGGGGATACGGGCCGTTCCCTTCGGGCTTTGAGGGGTGTATCCCCAACTGGGGTGGTAACTTGGTGGGGATCTCGAAGGGGATGGGGATGGGGAT